TTTTCGGCAGACATTGCCAATAGTTACACGCGGGACAAGAGCCGATGAAATTAGCGCATGTTTAAAAAATTCAATTCTTTGGCCCCATATTACAAGGTTAAATCTCACCACAAACATGCGAGCGCAAAGAGGCGAGAACACAAATGCTCAAGATTTCTCACAGTTATTATTGAGTATTGGTGAAGGTAGGTTTCCTGAGGTTGATGGTAGAATAGATTTAATTAATAATTTGTGCAAAACAGTCCTTAACATTGAGGAACTTATTATATCTGTTTATGAAGATCTGGCTGGTATAGTAAACCAAGGAAACTCTTGGCTTTGTGAGCGCGCTATACTTACGCCTCGTAATGATCAAGCTGTAAGTATCAACATGACCATTTTAGAACGTATTGAAGGGGAGAATGTTACCTATACGTCAATAAATAGAGTAGTTGACCGTGAAGAAGTAACAGCATATCCTGTAGAGTTTTTGAATGCATTAACGGCGTCTGGGCTCCCTGCACATGAAATTAAACTTAAGGTAGGGATCCCCATAATTCTTTTAAGAAATTTAAGTCCACCAAAATTATGCAATGGTACTCGGCTCAAAGTAGTTGCTCTCCAGAGACATGTGGTTGAGGCAGAGATACTTACCGGTTGCGGTGCGGGTGAGAAAGTTTTTATTCCACGAATACCGATTATTCCGAATAACTTTCCGTTTCGTTTTAAACGGGTCCAACTGCCGGTGAGTGTTTGCTTTGCAATGACGATAAATAAGGCAGGGTCAAACGCTAAGCAGAGTAGGCGTTGACCTTACGAACAGCTGCTTTTCACATGGGCAGCTCTATGTGGCAATGTCGCGTATCAGCGATCCCACTAATTTGTTTATTTTAGCACCACAAAACAAAACGGTGAACGTTGTTTATGAAGAGGTCCTTTGTTAACTGAATATATTTTTTTACATTTTCTTTTACTTTTGAAGTTCTAACAAAACCGTGATTAAATAAATAAAACCATTAAATTAAATTGCATATTTATATCTCCTTTTTGACTCCTTGTTTTGTATTTATTAAGATTTTATTATTCGAAAACCAGAAATGGATGAGGTGGTAGATAGCTGGCATTAGGTTTTCTTAAAATGTGGATATTATCATAAAATGGCTAATCGTTGCCATCAAGTCATCCAAAATTAAAAGTAAAAAATTTGATCTATTTTAGCCTTTTTCACGAAGCTAACGTTCAGGTAGGTATAAAATAATCTGCTTGATTATAATAAACATATAATTATATATACTCTGTTTGAAAATATAAAAGAATTGGAGAAAAAGATTACATGCGAACGAAGTCGCGGGCACAGCTAGTTTTAAATATAAATCGGTGTATTCACCTAAGTTACGGATTTTAAAATCATTCCATACCTTCAATGCATGACTGTAATCTTCATCTGAAACAGATTGAGATGTAAGGTGATTGACAAATTTCGATTGTTCTGGTAATTGATTTTCTTCATACCGATCCCATGAATCTATATACTTAGTCATAAGTTCGAAAGAAAGTAGATACCTTTCTTTCGAACTAAATTAAATAAATGTTTATCTTCAAAAAAACTTGCGTAAATTTTTAAAATCTTTCGCTTCTATCGTTTTCACTAAATTATCTAAACAACTGAGCTGAGTTCTTATTATTATTATTTTCTATTGGAATAAACTTAGTAAATGGAATAAAGTTTTCTTTATTTCTGGGTATTAGATTTATACGACCACAAATGGCTGAAAGTTCCTTTATAAATAAATGGCAATCATAACCAGAAAGGTTGTGAAATATTGTAGGTATGAATGAGCATGATGTCTTAGCTTTTAAATTACATTCGTTATGAGCAGGTCCTCTGTATTTTCCAGTTAAGTGATCATGATCTGCAACTATGATATCTGTGTTACTAAATATTTTTTCACACAAATGACATTCCTATACATTATTCAAACAGTCTCGCCCCATTTCACCGATTACCAGAGGTGTATTATTTGAAAGTAATTTATGTAACCGTTTAACATCTTTACTAATTGATTCAATAAATTTTTTAGCACACTGACCCTCGATAGGAAACTGATTTATTGAGTTCGGGCTTAGAATCACAAAATATATAATATGCAAAACAACTGGCCTCATGTATTTGAATATTTTCCACATACGCAGTTTATTTTTGTCTGAATACTCATGTAATAAACTCTCAAAGTCGCCGTATACAATAGGAATTCTTTGAGTCTTTTCATAGTTTGAAAAATAAAATTTAGTATTTTATTCTGGTAAAATGGTTTGGATCCTCGCACAATCATGATTAAAAAGTTTTTCTGCAGTGTTAAAATAATAAAAAACATTCTTCACATACATGTATTTTAGATTTATGCTTAGTTAATTGCTTGTATACTAGTTTATCAAACCTTTTTATCAAACAAAAATGATGTTTGAAATGATGATGTTGAAAATGAATCCAAATGTTTGGGGCTGGTCAACTGGCGGAACAAGCAATACTAGTGGTGGAGCGTTTTCCGCGTCCATACCATTGAACAAGGTATTAGGATTTGCAGAAGATTATGAAAAAATTATAATTAATTGTAAACATGCGTTAGTATTATTAAGCATTAGAATTATAATCAGCGATCAAGTTAAATACAGGTGAAGTTGTAGAAGATATTATAATAAATATAATTGTTTGGCGAGTTACACACATCAAAGTATCAGATCGTGTAAGAATAAACCTATTAAAACATTTAGAGAAAGATCGCGCTACTCCATTGCCATTCCGTTGCTGGAACTTATGAGTATCCATTGCTACCCAAAACACGTAAACATACTTGGTCTATAAAAACTTCATCGCAAATAGAGAAACCACGATCTGTGGTCATCGCCTTACAAACCAACCGCAAACATAACGCGAAATTATCATTGGCAGAGTTTGATCATTGTCACGTACTAGATGTAAAGTCTTTTTAAATCCATCATATTATCTTTATAAGGGGCTGAATGTCAGTTTTTTAGAAGATAATTTTTTTTTATTATACGATCAGTATGCGAGATTTCAACAGTCGTATCACGGACGCCGGTCAGAGCTGTTGATGTGTTTAAAGGAGTTCAGAGACGTGGCTCCATTAATTGTAATTGATTGTTCAAGAGAATACGAAACTTTATAAAGTTCGATCGATGTGAGAATTGAGATTGAATTCGAAACAGACCAAGAAATACCAGATCAGACAACAGCAATAAGTGCTTGATATTAAACGACTGTATATTCGAATACAAACCACTGAGTAATATCGTTAAGAAAATATCATGAATAGCAATGCAGTAATCGTCGATCTTCAAGGCTTCAAAAATAGCAAAAATGAATTTATATTAAAGGAGTTTGCTATAACCACTCTAGAGTACACCAATATATTCCTAATTAAACCTCCTTACCCATTCACTTCACTATCTCTTGAAGAGAAAAAACAAATTGGCTGGATTGAAAAGCACAGAGGGTATCGATGGAGTGAGGGTTATGTTGATTATAGTTTCACAGAATTATCAAGACATATTTGAAAGATAAAAAGATTTTTTTAAAAGGATGTGAAAATATTAAATGGGTGCAAGATATTTGTGATGAAAATAATACTATCATTGTTGTCAAGTTGCTTAGGAGCTAGGAAAAAAGTAAAAAAAGAGTAGGTATGTTTAAAAGTTTAAGCGTCGAAAATTCCAAATTTCAACACTTGTTTTAACACATTTTTGGGCGGTAATAAATACCATAAGAAGAACGAAAATTGCAAACAGTTATCATACAGGGAGAGATTAGTTGTTCTAATAATAAGATAAGTCTATAATAGAAATGCAAATAATTTTATTTTAAACAGATACATTCAATAGATTTTCATGACATCCAGACTACCAAAGGTCTGTTTATAAAATTTCGCGCGCACCTTTTTGTTGTAAAATGTAAATCATCTTGCCTTTCGCTACGAATTGTTTCCCCGATCAGTGGGATGGACGGAGGAGGGGGGGGGGGGCGCAGCGCGCACTCACACATGCTCACTAGGTTAGCCGCTGCCTTTGAGTATTAAACCAAGAATTAGTGATGTAACGGATATTCGCATTCGCAAAAATTATGCTAATATTTAGCGAATGTTTTTAATAATCAAAAAGGAAATTATTATATGCATGCATATGAAATAATAATACAATAGATAACACTTAGATATTTTTATTAAATCATACTTCTACATTCTAAATTAAAGTCTCATTTATGAAAAAAGAACTTCAGAGATCTGGATCAAATCTAAAATTAATCAGCCTTGTTACGACTATGTAAGGTGCATTTATTTAGTAGTATATTATTACTTTACTACCATTTTTAAATAAAGTTTACAGTTTCTATTTACTAAAAAACTAAACAATTACTTGAAACAAAATTATTAAACTTTAAATATCTAATGTATTAAGTATTTATAACCTTTGGCTTTAAATGTATATTTTTTCATTCTACTTTATATATCTGAGGAATTATATATATTTATAATGAATGAAATATAAACTTAAAAAACAAAACAATGAATACTTAACTATTTGTAAATAAACCTTTTTTCAAAAACAAAATTATAATTATTTTTATTTTAAACTAAAGTAAACTTCTAATACTTGTTATGTTAACATTTGGTTTTTGGTTTCAATTGCAAGTTATTTATCTATGTATAAAAATAATGATATATAAGTAAGTAAGAAGGTACACAAAATATAGTTTTTCTAATAACATGTTGACTATTTAATTATTAAATTTGTTGTAATTTTTAATTCTTAATAATTAAATTGAAGCAATGGAATGTAAAATTTTAAAAATAAAAGTTTGGAGGCTCTTTCTCCGTGCAGCCTGTTTCGGTGAGGTGTGTAAAGTAGTCCAGCTCCACAGAAAACTCTTTCACTGGAGACACTTGTGGGCGGAGTTACCAAATATTCTTTGGCTACTGGAGAAAGAATGCCATATTTGTTGCTATTTACTTTCCACCAAAGAAGTGGGTCTTCTTCATTTTCAATACGTTTGTCCAAAAATTATTCATTAATATTTTTTTTATTAATACTTCTAATGGATTTGGAATATCATTATCTAGTTCTTCCTCGCTTTCACTTGAGTCCATCATCATTTTCATAGTTTCTTTTAATGTCACAGATTTTTCTAAAAGACTGGTACTGGAGCCCAAGTTTTCATTATCCTGATTCCTTATTTTAGGACGCTTTGGCTTTGAACATGACGGCAAACTTAAGTCCTCATCTCCAAGTGAATCTAAAATTTTTTCATGACTTGATCTTTTGTTGAAGGATTTTTGAATAATTTCGTTTTGTATCTAGGATCAATAAACGTTGCTGTAGCAAATAATATGTCGTTTTCTAAGTGAGAAAATCTGTGTCTCATTTCTTGTTTTAAAACAAGTATAGTGTTCTTAATGCACTCGTCAGATGCATTATATTCATCAATCACCTTTTCCAGAGTGGCCAATAACGGAATCACAGATGATATGGAAACAGTGGCTGCACTTAGTTCTCGAATTATTTCTTCAAAAGGTTGATGCAATGTAATCAATTTTTCCACAAGTATCCATTCTTCTGAAGTTAGTTGTGAAATTTTGTTGCAGGTGGAAGCATAAAGATACAACGAATCTTTGTTTTTCAAAATTTATTATTATTAATCTTTGTTCTAGCATGCAAAAGGTGCTATTCCACCTCGTAACACACTCTTGGATTATCTTGAGATTTGGTTGATTGAGCTTTTCTTGTAGATTAACAAGTTCATCTTGAGCTACATTAGAGTGGTGAAAATGTGTTGCTATCTTTTTACATGTGTTAATGGCTGCAATGATCGATTCTTGTGACTTAAGTCCTTCTAAAGAACTTGTTATTAAAATAACAAGTTGGATTTGGTGCGATAAACAATCAATGTTTAATACTTAATAAAGAAATACCTTTTTTCATGTTAGTGCCACCATCTCTAACAATACATAATACGTTTTCGTTGGGAATTCCCCATGATGACAACATAGTTTCTAACTTTCCCGCTATATTTTCTCCTGTATGTCGCCCATCATTGAATACTTCTGCTTTCAATACAATCATTTTTCGTTCAAAATTATTGGTAATTCCGTGACAAGTTAAACTTATCAGCGACACTCCAGAGCAAGAGTCAGACCAGATATCAGTTGTTAATGCTAATTTTTCAAATGATTTGATTAATTCCAGAATTTTATCTTTTACCTTGCCGTATAATTTCTCACAAATGAAGGAAGTAAAATATTGCCGACTTTCGAAATTATATGAAGGGCATACTTGGTTAATCAATCTCACAAATCCAAGACATTCCACAAAACTAAATGATAAGTCCTCCAGTGCGATCATTTCGCCAATCAAATTATCCAGCACCAAAGACTTGGTGTTGTTGTTATCCCACTTTTAATTTTTTTCATTGCAATCAATCAAAGACATTTGCTTAAGGTCAGTTTTGATACATTGTCGCGAAGAGGACGCCAAAGAATTAATTTTAGCAGCATCTTGCTTTTCATGTTCTCTTTTTTTCAATTCTTCATATTCATTTTTGTGTTTAGCTTCCACGTGATTTCTCATAGCACTAGTGGTCCTGCCTTTGCGCGAGTACTTTTTATCACACAACTTGCAATTAACATTTTCAGCATCACATATTGTAAAATAAGTCCAAACTTCACTGATGTGTGCTTAACTCATGTTTTTATGCCACTTTGTCCCTTAAATATCAGTTAAATTTGATAAATAACATAAAACTAACCTCAAAACAAAACAAAACTTTTAGAATGAACTTTCTGTGACTAAATTCATTCAATTAACCAATATCGGCTCGGCTATGTTCAATTTAAACATGGCCGACACGAAACGTCAAACCTGTCAAACATTTTACGCGCGTTTTTTTTTTGAAATTTTAAAATATTCTCATTCGCATTCGCATTCGCGAATGTTGAAGATAAATATTCGCATTCGCATTCGCATTCGCGAATGTGTAAAATCCAACATTCGTTACATCACTACCAAGAATACTCATAGGCCGTTGCTATCTATTTATGGTTGTAATACCTACATATCTACATCTTTATTTAGAAAATTTGCTTCCTTTTGTTCGTGTCCATTGCTGAAGCCGGGATGAATATAGCTGCTAAAATGTGCCCATAAGTTTGTTGAAGCACCTTTAGTTAAAATTGAAAACAGGTAAGTACATAATAATGAACTTTCGATACAGGTAGTACATTAGGTACTTAACTACTTTAATTTGCTAACTAACGAAAACATCTCATAGATAAGCACGATTATCGAAAATCTTAAAATTGTCTATTAATTTAATTAGAATAGGTAATTTTAGATTTTCGATAATCGTGCTTACGTATAGGAATCTCATATCCTAATATACCTAATGTAATTTATGTAAGTACATAAGAATCTAAGAAGGGCAGTCAATGATAAATAAAATTTGTTTTGTAAGTTGTTTTTTTAAACACTTTAACACAACAAAAACATGAAACTGAGAAGAAGCACCCGATCTGCCGAAACAAACTCAAGAGAGGTCAGTCCAGGTATTACATTGGTCATGTCATACGAGAACCAGGCTAATATGCTCCTTTGAAGAAAGAATCATACAGATTTTAGTGGACAACTAAGTACTTTTTAGGATTCCGTACCCGAAGGGTAACCAGCAGGGCCCTATTACGGACCCTCCGCTGTCCGTGTATGTCAGCGGGCTGCATCTCATGATCCGTAATAAGTAGGTAGATGGTTGTAATTTTCACAGAACGTGTATTTCTGTTGCCGCTATAACAGCAAAGAGTAAAAATAAATTTGAAATTAAAGGATTTTCTACTAGAAAAAGAAACGTGTATTTTTTGGCTTTTTTGATCGATAGTAATATGTATAGGTATTTAAATCTTGTAAGATGGTACGGAAGCTCGGAAGTCCGATTCGCACTTGAAAAAATATTTGTTTATATTTAACCTTACCTCAGACATACTCATATTTTTTATATATAATTTACTATACTATTATATAAGCTACTACTAAACAAAATAGTAGTAGCTTTGCTATGGTATTATAGTATATTTTGGATTAGATTTAATTTATTACAGAATAATACGAACTATATAAAAACTAAGGAGCGCATCAACCTACCTCAGATATTGGGTTATGAATACAGATAAGTACACATAGGATTTAGTTTCTAAGTTGTACATATTTTTATAGCCTTCGTTATGAATAGCATAAACAGGCCAAGCCCCCTAGCCTACAAACGTTTCGTAACGAATCTCTTTCTACAATCGCGCCTTTTATTTGTTTGGCCTGACCACCTAATTCGTTCAGTGATATCATTCCCATACAGTGTTTAGTTTTCAACTAGCGTTATCTATCATAAAATAAATCAAAATTTTATTTTTATTTCGCTAATTGTGTCTGTACTGTGAATTTGATTTACAGTCGATCTCTAAATTGTAGTTTTCTTCTAATTATACCTTGTTAGAAGTGTTATTGGACTTGTAGAAGTCTGTGTTGTTAGTATTCCGTTTATATACGTTACTATTTTGATAGACGTTTGTGCTTGTCCCTGCAGTGACACAATGCCTATTGTTGATAACTTTCTAAGTACTAAGAGAATGTTGCAAACCGCTATTGAACACAAACAATCAATAAATAATTTACAAACTAACATTTTTTATTTATTTAGTTAACCTATATAAAAGCCCCACTCACATCAAAATCGCGCTGTCGAAAAAGCAGTTATCCTGACACTTGCTAGCATATACTTCGGGGAGTTGCCTGTGGGCTATTATAGCTAACTAGCTATGGTAAGTAAATACCTATTTAAAATACATAGTACCTAACAAAAAACATAAAGAAAACATAATTATGTTACACTTTTTTGTATTTGTTTTAGAAATAGTTATTTTTTTTTTTCAAAAAAGTTTTTTATGTTACCATTTTTAGTTGAGAGTTATGTCCCTTTAGTGGGTACAGGCGTGATATTATATTGTGTGATTGCGTAAAGAATGCATAGATAGGCGATAGCAGCAATCGCGGTTGATTTGTTGTCATTTATTGAAGAGTGCCCCCGATTTCTCCAAGATCCTGATCTGACCATCATTGATTACCGTGGTATTATCTGGACAATATATCCTTTCAAACAAAACAATAATTTTCCGAATTGGTTCAGAGATTTTCGAGAAATCGGGGGACGGAACATACATAAAAAAAACCAACGAATTGAGAACCACTTTCTTTTTTAGAAGTCGGTTAAAAAGTAGGTAAAAACAAATCAATGAAATTATTATATAATAACAACATCTTAAGTTCACATAAGAACTTTCATAATAACTACATAAATTGGGTTCATAATAATTACGTTTCACACAGCAGATCCTAAGTTACAATAACACCAATTTGCTTTCTCTCTCCTTTCTCTTTTTAAAATAAGTTACCCCCACAGTAGGATTTTCTCCAGTATTGTGGAGGCAGTTTACAAACATAAATTGCACAAGGACAAACATCCAGACCCGGAACAATTATTTGTAGTCCACACAAATATTTGTTCCGTGCGGGATTCGAACCTACAAATAGTTGTTCCGGGTCTGGATGTTTGTCCTTGAGCAATTTATGTTTGTAAACTGCCCCTACGATACAAGAGAAAATCTTAATGTAGGGGTAACGTATTTAAAACAATAAAAAAATATCAACCAGTTTTTTGACTTTAGGTTAGATAGTAGGGATTCGCTGGTATATAAGGACAATGAGTTTGCCGTAGTATTCTTTGCGATGAAGAACCCTGTCATTTGCTGTCCAACAATGTTTGAAGTTTTCGGCTTTGGCGAACTCGCGGGCCAGATAAAAAAGCCTACGGATACGGGCTGTCAGATTTTCAGATACATATATCAGTTGGCTAGGATATTCTGGAGCTAGAACCTTTGCGTTCAACTTACCGCCCGAGTTCTTCTTATGGTATTCCTTGAAGGCCTTCAAGATTTGGTTTTTTAAGATGACCGAGTTGAGCCGGTATTTGTTGGGAGCACTATATGCTCCAAGTTGTTGACGAGTACGTTTACCTGGGACAAATAGTCCGACTAGGTAAGTTCAACTTCGACCGAGAGGTCAATCGACGGATTCAACTCGGCTGGGCAGCGTTCGGGAAATTACGACATATCTTCTCGTCAGGTATACCTCAATCTCTAAAAACTAGATTGTACAACCAGTGCGTGTTGCCAGTGATGACTTACGGATCTGAGACGTGGTTCTTCACTGCTGGCCGTATGAGGACGTTCAAGGTCGCTCAGCGAGCTATGGAGAGGGCTATGCTCGGAGTTTCTCTGCGTGATAGACTCAGAAATGAGGATATCCGCAGTAAAACCAGAGTGACCGACATAGCCCAACGGATTAGTAAGCTGAAGTGGCAATCGGCCGGCCATATAGCTCGAAGAACCGATAAGCGATGGAGAAGAAAGGTTCTCGAGTGGCAGCCTCGTACCGGTAGGCGTAGTGTAGGGCGACCCCCCACTAGATGGAGTGACGACCTGGTAAGATATGCAGGAAGTCGATTGATGCGTGTGGCTCAGGACCGTGCTTTGTGGCATTACTTGGGGGAGGCCTATGTTCAGCAGTGGACTTGTGAAGGGCTGTAATGATGATGATGAATTGAGGGTTACTACTATGGTCTTGCTATCTTGCTTGGAGGGAAGACAACGGATGTCATAAATATCAGAAGTCTGGACTTTGGTGGACAACTCCGAGAAGATGCGACGGGCAATTACTAGGTGGTCGTCTTGAGATAATGGCAGCTTAAAAGTCAGATTGCGGAATTAATGATTGATGAATTGAACTGGAGCAGGAAAAGCGTTCGATTTCTTCTGTAGTGTTCTCTAATTTCGATAGGCGTTCACCATAAATCATGTTTTGCGAGTGTCCATTTTTAAGTTCTCCACAAATCTCGTCATATTTACAGGATAAAAACTCCCGAGTTAGACGCCAGCAGATCCGAGCTGAGTTATTTTATTTCGTTTATTGACACTATGGAGTATTATGATACTCTACAATTTGATATCCGTTTCATGTTTCCAAGA